TGGCGGGTCCGGGCTGGGGATTCGAACCCGCCACCTTAGGTGTACGTGGCTGGCGCCTTAGCCGGTTGAGCTACAGGCGCCAAGCTGGGCCAGAAGAATTTCTCATAGAGATTATCAAATTCAGTGTATTCAAATCCAAAGTCTTATCTTTCCTCCTAATTTGATCTTCTAGAATTCTTTGAGTGACTGGCACCACCTTCTATCAGGCCAAATAAAAAATCCTCTACATTATTTTTTTACTTATCCCTCTGTTCATCTCTAATTTATCAAGTCTGCTGATTTTATTACCTTTGAAAGATAAAGAAAAACTGTTTCTCTCCAGTATCACTGCTACTCATTCATACTTAACTTTGTATATAATCAATTCTTTTGAATGAACAGATTAAATCCAACATTCCAAAGAATTGTCCCATATGAATGTTAAGGTAATACTTACTAGTTCCCAAATGCTATTCAATTCCTCAGAGTAAGAGAACAGTTGTGGTAGCCAAGCTACAAAATAAGCCGCACTGATCCCTGCCTCCTGGTATTCACTTTAACAGCACTGATCTGTGTGACCCATAGAATATGTTTAAAATGATGTCTTCATTTCCAAGGTTAGGTTATATAAAAGCTGCATTTCAATTCTGTACTTGCTCTCCCTTAATCTGTAAGAAGCCAACTGCTACACCATGAGGACACTCAGGCAACTGTGATGTCTTCAATCAATAGCCACTATTGATTTAGGGCTCACCAACTACTTTGTGAGCTTAGAAGCAGTTTCCTTCTGCTCCAGCTGAGCCTTCAAATGACACTACAGCTTTTACAATTCAATGCAACGTCATGAGATCATGAGCCAGACTCACCCCGCTAATCTACTCCCTGATTTATGATCCATAGAAACTGCTGAGCTTTGAGGTAATTTACCACATAGTAATAGATAACTTATTTCTCTCTGGAAAATAAAATTGATAATGGTCTATTACAAAAGAATTTGGTCAGCTGAAGTTTCAAATTTAGCTCTGATTTATTCCAAATAAACTGACAAATATTTGGATCTTTAACTACAAAGTCATTATCAATTTCTCACAATATGATAAAGATTAATAGGAATATTTAAACTGCCAATAAATGAACACGGCTGTTGATGAAATGGTCGAATGCTTTTATAAAAAAACTACTACCTCCAAGATGACCTCAATACAAGTTAAAAGAAATTTCTACAGTTGCACCCATGCAACACGAAACATTAATATTTGGTACAAAAGCACCACTAATAAGTATCTGCTGGAGCAGGTAGCAAACCTGTAAGTAACTGATTTCAATTTAAAAGCACTTAAATATAGCATAAGTGTGGCTGTCACTTTAAGCAATGATTCTATTATCAGGAGAACTTAAGAGAATCACATGGAGTCCCCTTGCAGCTAAAAATCCTGTCTGTTCCTCTACTTCCTTTTCAAATCTTTAGTGTGAAGGATGGTGTATGAACTCCAAAAAGCTCCTGGTGACTGCCAATTCAAGATAACAGATTAGACAAATTTGTTTTATAGCCTCTTCCTACTTAGACAATGTTACTGCTAAATGATTTAAAAGTATTTAATGGCTTGGTGCCTGTTGCTCAAGTGCCTAAGGCACCAGCCACATACACCTGAGCTGGCAGGTTCGAATCCAGCCTGGGCTGGCCAAACAACGATGGCTGCAACCAAAAAATAGCCAGGTGTTGTGGCAAGCGCCAAGACTCGCTTGAGCCCAGGAGTTGCAGGTTGCTGTGAGCTGTGATGCCATACCACTCTACCCAGGGCAACAGCTTGAGGCTCTGTCTCAAAAAAAATAAATAAAAATAAAAAATGTTTAATGAGGCTTGGCGCCTGTAGCTCAAGCGGCTAAGGTGCCAGCCACATACACCAGAGCTGGTGGGTTCAAATCCAGCCCGGGCCTGCCAAACAACAATGACAACTAAAACCAAAGAATAGCCAGGCATTGTGGCAGGCGCGTGTAGTCCCAGATACTTGGGAGGCGGAGGTAAGAGAATTGCTTAAACCCAGGAGTTGGAGGTTGCTGTGAGCTGTGGTGCCATGGCACTCTACCCAGGGTGACAGCTTGAGGCTCTGCATCAAAAAAATAAAATAAATAAAGTCTGTTTCTAGAGAACTGGTCTTGTAGGTCCCTTCTGCCATATTATATGCAATCAGACCCATCCTTCTGAGCTGTGTGCAAGGTTGGCCAAGTTTCTTAACTTCTCTGGGCATAAATTTTCTCATTTGTAATTAGAGAATAAGAAAATGCCTATTTCATGGGATTAACCCATGAGGCTTAAGTGAGTCAATACATACCAAGTAAAGTGAGCAGCACTGAGCACACAGTAAGCAAGCAATCAACTGTTTGCTTTCTAATTAATTATGGTATATATAGTACTCTGAGAACCACTAATTTAAATGAAATCACCTTTGATGGGGGCAGGGACATGAATGACAGAGACATAATAGCACTTTCATGTTGTGAGCACAGCTCCATGATGAATATATCATAGTAACATTCTGGTTTAGTCGCAAAGCAAGACTAACAATTATGAGGGTCACAGGTAAGTACCAAAGACAGTAAAGCTGGGGTGGGAGTGCAGGGTAGAAAAGAGAGACTGGCAGGCAGTAGTCTCTATACTGTAGTGAGAGAGGCCTCTGCAGAACAGCTTCCTATGCCATTCTCTGCGTATAATGGCTACACACTGCTTACCTGTGAACAACGGAGGACCTAATTACAATGATTAGAAGTAAAACATGAATAGACTGAAGTGAGAACTAAAATGCAATAATCCATAAATACCCCTTAAGAATGTTATCTAGACATCTCATCGTTTGTGTTACTTGAAAAGCATTTATTACAACAACAAAACTAGAGGTTAATTACTTTATTACTGAATTATATAGTAAGGTCTACATCTACAATTTAATCAGGAAGAAATGCTTTGCACTTAACATCAAGGACACATTTACTCTAGTGGAATAAAACAGACACAGACAAAAGACCAAATACATGTTTTTAAAAAAATGACTACATGTTTTACCTGTTACTATTTTTGCTATTTTGGACCATACTCTCAAGAGAATTAATTTTACATACATATTAAGTCTGATTTATCTCTCCATATTTTTAAACATTAAAATAGAGCTTCTCACAATTTCAAATTATAAACGAAAGACTGAAAACAATATGGGAAACAGTGTTTAAAAACAAAGAAAGCATACTACTACTACTACCTTATAGTGGAAAAGTTGAGTAAAACATGCCCCTTCTATGGCTCATCTGAAAGAGACACTTTTACTCAGAGAGGCAAACATTCCTGATCTAGAACTAAGTTTCCCACTCACGCTGCATGACCAGATCTATAATTGTTTCTGGTCTCAACTACAAAGTAAGCAAAAATTTCTATAAAATAACTAAAAGCTAAATACCAGAATAGGACTAATCCAAAGTAAAATTTTGTGCTGGTCTAAACATACATCTTCAGCTTCTCCCTTTTTAAAAAGTATCTTTTTATTTCAGATGACATTTAAAAATAATCGACACTTTTAGTGTGCTTTATAGTCAATCTCTGTAAAGTTGAAACTCAAATGAGTAAGTTTAAAATTTTTGTGTTTTACTTGATTCTCCTGAAATTCCCATCTTCTACTACTTCACTCAACCAAGTTATACATGAGGTAAGTTTCAGCTAAAAAAGAAACAAATCAATCACAAAGATAAAGCTAACCATTTCAACAGTAACAAAATCATAATGCCCACCTCATATTCAGAGTTTACAACTTTAAGTATTAACTGCTACTTAGTATGTAATTTAAAAGCAAATGCTTTTTGCACTTTTAATCAAATTACTCTGGGAAATACAGGGCAAAAGAACTTGGCAAAATTTGTTCTTGGTAACAGAAGACAATCCAAATGGAACATAAGACCAGTGTTTCTAACTTCTAAACAAACGCACACATACTTATCTAAAGAAATATTTTGGTAGTACACTGGGTTGAGAGAATAAATGTTTTGCTGTAAATAAAAAGTACAAATTTCCAATTATATCCTCATAGCTAGCTAACAGCTTCTTAAGACACATTCAGCCAGCTAACAGTACTCTAAAACCTGTATATGTTACACTAAAAGATCCCTGCTAAAAATCAACAATTTCAATGGGTCTTACTGAAGTAGGACTTTCATGATACTAGAAATATTTTAAAAAGTATGACAGGGCTAAAACAATGACATTACTATTAATAAAAGTTACAGAAGAGATTATTGCCATACTTTTCCTCATAAACACCATTAAATTTTGTTGTAGGTACAAAAAGGACAACCAAATAACTTTTTCTCTCTTACCGAATTTCATTATTTCACATTTCTAAAGTTTTTATTCAGCAGAGAATTCCTCAAATCTGTTCTGTAAGAATGCAAAGTATTAAATGTGTAGCTTCACATTATACTACGTTTTGCCCTTCTTGTTTCTCAAATACACAAAATCAATATACATTTTTTTCAAAAATGAAATAAGATGTCCACATTAAAAAAATAAAGCCTACAAAAAAGTTCCAGAGCTAAAAAAGATTCATATGGCACAAAGTGATCCCCTACTAGTCCAAAGTCCAAAAACATTTTAATGAAGTCCATTTATATATTTTGTTTGTTTTTCAATGGAATACTACATTTACTGAAGTGAAATCACATTATTTTTAGTTCTTGAAGTAAACAAATGCACACAAATGTTTTTCAATAGTTATTAAAAATAGGAGACCAAGTCGAATGTGCCAAAGAGATATCATTCAGTTGGAAAGAGAGTTATTAGGAAGAAACTTAAAGAAGGGATTTCCTTGGTTGGTTTCCATAGCTTGATAGACCAAAAACAAAAAAACTGCCACAACAACAAACAGCAAAATTTTTATCCACATGGGAATGGAGCGTCCCTTTTTTGTCTTTTCCGATTTGACATCTGCCAAGGGAACATACTTAGGAACATATTTAGATGAATAAGATTCCTCCATCCTGAAATCACTGAGTTCTAATGGCCGGCCTGCAGCCCCTTTGATTGGTCTGCGGCAACTAGCACTGTTGGGAGTAAAGGAGGGAGAAAATAATTTTAGATAAAGTCACGATTTAGATAAATAATAAAATGTCATTGCCATTCCTAAGTCCAAGCACATTCTGTGAGGTTAGCAATAGAAAATTGATATAATTAAAGCACTGAGGTCAGTTAAAAGTAGACACATCTTTTGTTAGAAAATAATAGTCACAATACTGATAGTCACTAAACCTGCCTTTTAAAAAGCTTTTCAAAGCTACTATATTTTGGAGGAAAGAGAAAAACAAAAGAGTTTTTGGTTATGATTGCTTCAGTTAAGAAATAATAAAACAGATATTTAATATGGGCTTCTCAATTAGAAAAGAGAAACTCGGAAAAAAAATTATTTCTCTTCTTACTAAAGGTTTTTAGATTTTAAAATATGAATTAAATAATGGATAAAATATTCTGGGAGGCCAAGGTGGGTGGATTGCTTGAGCTCACCAGTTTGAGATCAGCCCGAGCAAAAGCGAGACACCGTCTCTACTAAAAACAGAAAAAACTGAGGCAAGAGAATTGCTTGAGCCTGAGTTGAAGGTTGCTGTGAGATACGATGCCACAGCACTCTACCCAGGGGGAAAGCTTGAGATTCTAGCTCAAAAAAAAAAAAAAAAAAAAAAATTAAAAAAATACATAAAGGATAAATGACTTACAATCCTTTAGCTTAACAAAGTTGATTTTGAAACTGACTCAACTTTTAAGGAAATAAACTGGCACCTTAAGGGAATTAAACTGCTCCCAAAAGAACAATTTAATTTTGAGAAGGTACAATAACTTTATGATGAGGAAGTTTTAAAAATTCCCTAGCAGAATACACTAATACTTGTTCCAACATATCTGAGTACCTAATTCCTGTTGGTGTAGATGCTTCATAGGGAAACATTTCCTTAAGAATATCCCTTTCTACTCTTCTTTCCTCTGTTTTTTCTCCCACCTAATAAGAAACAAACAAACAACCACAAGTTAAAATTTAGAGTAATATGCAACAATTAAAACATAATTTTAAATAGAAGCTTTAGAGAACAAAATGCCTTTAAATCTAGCCTAGCTTTCAGAACAGACAGTTCTAAATTCTTTATCATCTAGGTGTCCACATGCTTCCAAGGCTCTCTTCAAATTTCTTCCATATGAAGATATCATAATGTGGTTATTAGGGGAAAGAATTGCCACACATTCAAGTAAATGGGGAAAAAATATTCAGTAACCAATAAGGCAGTGTAAATTCCCTCATTAATTTTCTACATTTTTCTCTAATAAGACATTCGGACTATATTGTTTTGTTAAATGTTTAAGAATTTGGTAATAAAATAATCGTATATAGAAGATAGCTAATTAATATAGATCTTTAACAAAATTTTGTATGTTTCAAAACAAGTCAATGCAATGATCCCAACTTAAAAAGCATAAAATAATTTTTTAGCTTGACTGTTAGCTGTATTTACCTTATGCCCAGATTAAAATAAGCATTTCACCTCCTTTGACAAAGATTCATTAAAATTATAATACACCATGCAGTTAGTACTTAAAAGCTTAATTATACAGAGTTAACCAATTCAAGCATTATGCAAAGTCTCTTTAAAGTCCCATTTGACCTTTCAACAAATAAAGTGTAGCCTCCCTCACAGCACAGTAGCACTTTCAAACTTGCATCCGTGACAGATTACAAGCAGCACACAAATGACCACTCCCTTGAAAACTGAAAGTTAAGAGGCACACAGCAGCAAGAGGATAGTATTAGCATGTCATACTGTATTAATTTCCCTTTTCACTAATAAAAGTGTGTCTTTAAAATATATGCATATATACACACACGCCACCCAATAAAGAAAGCTCTGCTCCCTCCCACTCCCTTTCCTCTTTGAAAGATCAATGGTAGCATCGATCTAAATTTTATTCATTTACTTCAGCTCTTGTCAATGGTTTCTTTGGTGTTCTTCTGGATATGTCTGAGAATTCAGTGAATGGCAGAATAGGAGCTGCATGCTTGAAATTTCCAGTCACCCTATTGACAACCTGCCAAGATTCAAATTATTCAGACTCAGAATTATCCAAACATAACAAAGGCACTTAAAAAGAAAAGAAAGATATTCTTTCTATAATATTTGAAAATTTCCCTTAATAAAAATTTAGGCAACAGAGCCTAGAAAATATAACTCAATGCTTCTATGTAAAGCCTTATCATTCTTCAAATATTTTACCAGAAAGTATCCTTACAATACTTAGGATTCTTGCACAATGAATTAAATTTATTTATATATATGTATAAATTTGCTATGTAGAAAAATTCTAAAATTCAGAACCAAATGGGGAAAATTTTAAATGTTAAAAAACATGTAAATTTGAAATCTGCCAAAATACACCACCTCCCCATTTCCAATTAAAGGGTAATTTACAAAGAATACCAATTGTATAGTTTATGAAACATATTTACTAAAGGTTCGTTGCTTGAAGCCATTATAGTTTCAGCTATGGGAGTACTCTCTGAAATTACTGCACCATCTATACGAAAATGTTCTGAAGTTTCCACCTGTTAGGTTGAAAACAAAACAAAAACAATAAATATAAAATAATCACTAAAACCCTACCAATCTGAAAACCCAATTCTAAGCAATAAGCCTTGCATCACCCTTTTTCTTGGAGTTCTTCTCGACCCTCTCGTAGATTCCCTAGTTAATGCCTGCAGAGGTCCGCCTTTTGAAGATCCACTTGTCCATTCAGTCTCAGTTATTCCAACTTGAGAATAGCTCTATTCAAGCATCAACACATTAAAAAGTCATATTCTAACATTAAACACCTTGCAATAGCCATATTAGCACACCGAGAAGCTATAAAAAGTCTCCAAATGCCAACATTTAAGAAGAATGCTAAGACAAACAATGCTATCCCTTCAAAATATTCCTAATGTACTGATTAAATAAATGTGCAGGCATCAGAAAACACTTAAAGGATAGCAAAATACACTGAAGAGTCCATAGCTTACAAATTACAATAAAAGTTGGTGGGGGGGAGGGCCAAGGCAGGTGGATTGCCTGAGCTCAAGAGTTCAAGACCAGCCTGAGCAAGGGCAAGACCTAAAATAAAAAAAGTAAAAAAAAATAAAACCCCCAGGGTGTTGTGGCAGGCACCTGTAGTCCCAGCTCCTTGGGAGGCTGAGGCAAGAGAATCACTTGAGCCCAAGAGTTTGAGTTTGCTGTGAACTAGGACACCACAGCACTCTACCCGAGGGCAAAGAAAGGTCAGGAAGCAACAATTATCTGGTCCCTTTTTTGACCTGCTGTTTGGCTCTAGTATTGGAGCTGCATGTCTTTTTCTAAACAGAAAGCACACTAATTATGACTTAACAGAAAATCATTTGTTACAATGTCAATTTCCTTATAAAACAAAAATATAAACTTTTAATTATTAGCACAGATTAATATTATTCCTTCATGTGGTTAGATTTATTTTAGTCGAATTAGTTGAAATTACAATCTACACATAGCTGTCTGAACTGAAAAATGCCCAGGTGTTACACTCTTCTTGGAAACAGAATCAAAATCAGGCAGCAATAAAAACCCTTTGGTGAATATGCAAGCCCAATATGTCACTGTCAAGTCACAATACTACCCAAGACTCACTACAGATAGAGGGAAGGTGATATTATAGATATGTGATGGTTTTATGTACAAACCAATGTCTACTAAAGTTATTTTTTACTCTTACACGTATCCTGTGACAAGAATGGTCATCCAATAAATATACTATTTGGCTGGAAGTATGACTACTAGAGCCCCAGTAGGTACAGGCACAATCTCACTGTTTTTTTTTTTCTTCTTAAGAGTTTTCAAGCTGTTACCCTCAGTAGAGTCCCATGGCATCACAACTCACAGCAACCTCAGCCTCTCATGTAGCTGAGACTACAGGCAGCTGGGCCAGCTATTTTTTGGTTGTAGCTGTCATTGTTGTTTGGCAGGCCCAGGCCAGGCACAGTCTCTAGTTGTTTAAGTTTGTATTTATCCATGTCTAGAATTGACATTATAAAAATGTTACTTTGACTCACAATCTAAATACCTGGGTTCCTTATCCTGCTATCGATATTTGCTAAATGCAGAATTAATGTTAGTCAAAAGACAAATTTATAAACAAATCACATACACGAATAAACACATATTGGGTGGCACCTGTGGCTCAGTGAGTAGGGCACTGACCCCATGTACCAAGGGTGGCAGGTTCCAACCCAGCCCTGGCCAAACTGCAAAAAAAAAAAAAATAGCCAGGGTTGTGGTGGGCACCTGTAGTCCCAGCTACTCCGGAAGCTGAGGCAAAAGAATCGCCTAAGCCAGGAGTTGGAGGTTGCTGTGAGCTATGACACTACAGCAGTCTTACCAAGAGCAACAGGGTGAGATTCTGTCTCTTAAAAAAAAAAGAATAAACGCATATTAGCAGTCATATCCCTATTTGAAGAAACAACGTTTTCATACTCTAAGGTTTTTAATTTTGCTGGCACTGTATCACATTTAAAAAGTATCAAATGCCCCCAACCCTACCTCAGACTGATTAAATCAGAGTCTCTTCTAAAAAGGCCTGAGCATAGTTAATTCTTATAACACCTGAGATATTTAAGAGCTATCTTACTCTAAAAATTTTAGGTAAAACATGACCCATATGATTACTCATACTCAATTAAAAAAAAAAAAGCATCATACTCCTCCATTAGAGGATTGCACTTTCACACACTGCTGATGGAAAAGAAAAATGCTAAATGGAAAAGAGTTTGGGAGAACACCTAGTGAAATTATCTAGCACTTTCACTTGTAGACTTCCCCAGGATAAACTGGCAAAAATATGAAATGATACTTGCAAAGCTGTTTGGTTCACTCTGGCACTATTCATAATACCATGCACCTGAAAACAACTGAGATATCCACCAAAAGGAAAGTGGTTGAATAAATTATAGTACATCCCTAAAATGCAACACATAAAATGTACTGCAACCAGGAAGAAGGCTATATTCTAATATGGAGTGATTTTTAGGGTCAGTGTTTGGGTTGAATCCATTAAGGAATGTGCAAAGTAGGCTGCCTTTTATGTAAAGAAGAGCATATATAAAATCTGTTTTTACTTGTATTTTCAAAAAGAAATAAAATATAAACCAAAACCTAACAAAAATGCTTATCTATTGATGGTAGGAACAAGGGTAGAAATGAGAGTTGTGATTCTATTTTGCCTTATAAAACTACATATACTACATTCTCAACAATTAAAAAAAAAGAAAAAGCAACTTCAGTGTTGGAAAACAAAAAACCTCTCTGTACATTAAATTGGGGGCCTTCTGATTTTTAAATTTTTATCCTGACGCAATATAGCCTAAAGGCAAGGAAAAACTGCCCTTAGTAGACTTACCTTATTTAGCAGTGATACTGTATTATTTTGAAACATGTATTTTGTGAAACTTTAAGAATTATCATTTGAAGAACCAAGACACTCAACATAAGAGCTATTTGGGTAAATGTAATACCCAAAACTGTATTCATAATTAAGACTGTATTCATAAATTTGATGTCACCATGAATTCATGACTTACCTAGCTCTACCTACTGAATAGACCTAGAAGCCATGACAACCCAGTAGAAATGAAACGCTAGCATCCAAATTATGGCTTCCAAATAATACTTTCTATTAAAAGGACTGGGATTCTTTGGAAAAATGGCTGATTTCAGATATGAAGCAGAAAGTTTACATGAGCCAGGAATATCTCACACGTCAGAAAACTATCAAAGACAAATTGGGGGGGAGGTGGAAAGCAATAAAAAAATCTAAGAACCAATTTAGCAATTCCCACTAGCTAAAGATGACACAATGTGAACGTGAAGAATGCAACTGTTCATAAATTAAGTACATAAAAACCATGAATATAATTTCTCTTGGATTTCTTATATGTAAATTTATTTTAAGGTCACTATGAAATTCCTGAGGGAAAGAAAGTTCTTTGCAAAGGAATTTCAGTTATAGATGTAAATGGAATGAAAGAATGACAAAAATAACTATTTTATACACAAAATGAATCTTGATAGTCATCAAAGACTGTTAGAGCTATTAAATGAAGGGGTGATGTGGAACACTCCTTCATTTGGATGGCTCATCCTTTCAATGTGTGATCTTGTTACTAATTTTAGCATCACAAAAAGGACATCCTATACCTCCTGAAATGATGCAATAGGAAAGCCACATAATTTATGAAATATTGTTGTCAAAGAAACTGAACCCACACCTAACCAACTCTCTAGATTCTGAGCTGTCCAGTAGACCATTAGCTACACACAGCTATTTCAATTTAAATTTAAGCAAAGTAAATGACATAAAGAAACGGCCAAGTCCAGAATGTGGGAACTGATGTACTGACCTAGTTTCTTTACCAAGTAAATGGAGGAAAGAGAAACAGTTATGGTGGGATTAACTACAAAGATTAAATAAATAAGTAAATAAGTAAAATATAATGGTGGCTCTTGCTTGAATCCTGATCTGAATGATATAATCATAACTGAGACATTTCTAAAACTAGAACAATCAGCTTATGCCTATAATCCCAGTACTCTGGGAGGCTGAGGTGGGCAGATCACCTGAGCTCCTAAATTGGAAAGCAGCTTGAGCTAGAGCAAGACCCCATCTCTAGAAAAATAGCCAGGCATTGTGGCGGGCGCCTGTAGTTCCAGCTACTTGGGAAGCTAAGGCAAGAGGATTGCTTGAGCCCAAGAGTCTGAGGTTGCTGTGAGCTATGACACCATGGCACTCTATGAGGGGTGACAAAGATGTGGGACTCTGTCCCAAAACAAAACAAAACAAAACAAAAAAAAACAGAACAATCAGGAGAATCACATATCTAAGAATTAATTGGGCCAGGCATGGTGGTTCATGCCTGTAATCCTAGCACTCTGCAGGGTGGTGGTGGGAGATCACTTGAGTTCAGGGGTTCAAGACCAGCCTGACCAAGAGTGAGACCACCCCCCACAATCTCTACTAAAAATAAAATTAGCCAGGTTTTGTGGCAGTCACTGTAGTCTCAGCTACTCGGAGGCTGAGGCAAGAGAATGGTTTTTGAACCTAGGAATTTGAGGTAGCTATGAGGTAGGCTGATGCCATGGCACTCTAGCCTAGGCAAGAGAATGAGACTTTATCTCAGGAAAAAAAGAAGGCAAGAAGCAAAACTAAAGCAATTTAACAGATGGAGTATGTAGATAAAGATTAAACTAAATTGGTAAAACATTCATAACTGCTGAGCCATCAGTGACTGGAGTGATTACTCTCTTCACTCTCCCCAATTTTCTATAGCAAAGCCATGTCTAATTCTCCCTTCATCTCCTAAACCTACAGTTCTGTAACTTTATCCTGCCCCAGTTTAGATTTCCCCTTAAACTTTCTTTAATACCACTCCCCTCCTTTTAACCTACTATCTCATCAGTCGCACATCACCACCCTGCCTTCATACTTTGGACCCAAATTCTCCATGCTGGTCTATTTCAGTGTCCTTCACCAGACTTTCCTCATTTCTCTTGCTTCACTGTTTCCTTATTTTTCAGCACACTCCTGTGGCACTGTTTTTCGCAATACTTAATAACATGGGAATAAATTATTTATTCCAGCATTTAGTTCTCCAAGAAAATCATTCATTCAATGCTCTATACATTCACCAGTCACCAAGCTCACTTCTAACAGTTCTGAATTCAAGTCATCAACTAGATCAATTGAAGAGAGGGAAATAGCTTAAGAAATCAAGACTGCTTCCTCTGGAGATTTATGATTTAAAAATGATAAACAGGAGATAAAAGAGATAAATAATCAACTAGGCAAATCTTCCAGCTAGACACAGTAAGGGAAAGGAAAATGACTCTACTATTACAGAATAAGCAAAGAAAGCACTGTGGTCTTAGGACTGTATTAGCTTCAGAGTTTAGGGAAAAGCCAAGAAAACAAGACAGGCAAAAAGTAAAAGCCAAGTTCCAAATCTAGACACAAAGACACAAATATGAAACTCTTCCTATAGCTTTTAAAGAAATCGTCTGAAAAGTGATTAGGCATTTCTGCCTTTCAAAAATTTTCTCTCAAACAGTGTAACTGGCTTTGAACTACACTTAGCACAGAATCAAATACAAATGAGATGCTGATTAAACGCTTGTTTTTGCAGTACACATAGACAAAATCCACGGTTCAGATTTCTAATGTCTTTTAACTCACAAACGAATTAAGTTTATTGAGTGTGCTGGAGTCTGGCTGTCAACCATCAAACAAAGGCTAAAACATAGATTAGTGTTGTCAACAGATTACTCATCTCTGTACACACGGTGATCACAGAACTAGATACCTGATTGTGCTCAACTCTTCTTTGCTTGAGTGTTACTGGAGTCTTTGCTCTGCCCTTTAGTGGTTCTCTCTTCTCAAGCTTGAGCTCTATTTTAGAGTCTGGAAATAACAGCGAAGAAACCATTACTCTCCGAAACACATAAGCAGCTATGATGTTATCCTAATATCATTCTGGAACCCTGGTTTTAGGCACATTAATAGGTAAAACAAGTCTGTCTATGTAATCCCTCAATAGAATAAAATTCTTTGACTACAATTTCTCTTAACTTTCCTTTCCAAGTATTTTATTTCATTTTTTAAAAATCTCCCTTACTCTTTAACCTGACCACTTCTTTATTCTTTTTTTCTGGGACTAACAGCTTTAAACATAAAGTGAATTCAAAATACTCCCATGGAAACTTTTCATTAGAGAACAATTTAGATATGGAAAAAGTACATTTTAAATACACAGTTGTTACCATTAATCTGTCCATATAGTGTGCTACTTTACTGCAAAGGTAAGCTTATTAAATTAAAATTTGGATCATGAAAGGAAAAAGCTACAGAAGATCTTAAGAATAAAAAAAAATGTATGGTATCAAGCTTAATAAATAATAAATGCCAATGCCATGAATAAGAATAGTATTAAAGTTTCCTTCCCTTCATTTTTGATGTAGTTACAAAACTACATGGGTACAACTGAGGTAAGGAACCTGGTTCACAGAAAAATACAACCAATCACAGGTCATTCTTCTTTCCCCCTCCCCATAATAAAAATAACATTTCTTTAAAGAGAAGCCAATGCTTATTTATTATCATGACAGTTAACGGAACAACTCAAAGATACATTTTTTTTTAAAGCAGGCTTCAATATTCCATTTTCTCATCTTGACTTTATCACTACTTGAAGCTCTAGATTTTTACAAAGACTGATACAGGCTAGGTGCAAGGGTTCATGCCTGTAATCTCAGCGCATTGGGGGACCAAGGCAGGAGGAATGCTTGAGGCCAGGCATTTGAGATCAACCCAGGCAACACTGAGAAATCCTGTCTCTACAAAAATATTTAGCCAGGTGTGTTGATGTGTGCCCATAGTAACAGTACTTCAAAGGTTGAAGCAGGAAGATCACTTGAGCTCAGGAGTTCAAGGTTGCCTTGAGCTATAACTGCACCACTGCACTCTAGCCTGAGTGACAGAGCAAGACCCTGTCTCTTAAAAAAAAAATAAAAAAGACTGATATAAATTTTAGTTAATTTCTCCCTTTTTGTGGCCATTTGTCATAGTATAGCAAAATTAGTAAAGTCTACTGCGAAATTTAAATTAGATCACTTTCTTACCACAGAGGCAAGAATGGAGCCAAGTTTTAAACTAAGCTTAGTTTTTTGTTGCCTTTTTTTTTTTTTTTGAGACAGAGCCTCAAGCTATCTCCCTGGGCAGAGTGCCATAGTGTCACAACTCACAGCAACCTTAAACTCCTGGGCTTAAGTGATTCTCTTGCCTCAGCCTCCTAGCAGCTGGGACTATAGGCACTCGCCACAACACCCAACTATTCTGTTGTTGTTGCAGTTTGGCCAAGCCTGGGTTCGAACCTGCCATCCTCGGTATATGGGGCTGGGGCCCTACTCACTGAGCCAGACGCACTGCCCTAAGCTTAGTTTTGTACTAATTCAATGTAGTTGTGCTAAAAAGTGATCAAGATAGCTATGTATCTTGCTAATTTTCCAGTGTAATCCTAGTTAGTCCAGAGCTTACTTCCAAATCTCCCAAAAAAGAAAGTGATTTTTACCAAGTTAGTTCAAACAGTTTAATCGTTATTTAGGACTAAGCTATCAACTCTACGTCTTATCTTCCCAATATTTCTATTAATGGACCTACCACTACATTTATGATCAATACAACCCTTAGCAATATAAAATCTACTGTTATGCTATTAAGTCAGAATCTAAGAATTAGAAAGTACAAAGTAAAAAATCCATTAGTTTAGCAGATAAGGTATAAGGTATAAGGTTATGGTTATGGATTAATTCCTCTTATAAACTTAGATTCCAACAGCAAATAAAAACATGGTCCTCCAATAGGAGGAAAACCATATGATAATAATCACAATTAATTTCAATTATACCATTTAAATGTCAAGTGAGTTTCAATGATGAAATGGAAAAGGGATGTTCATCCACAAATACTTAACTTGTTGCAACTCCAAGAATAAAACACACATACAACATGTTTCTGGAGACCACACAAAACTGTTCAAATTTAACAACTTTATTGAATTTGCAGAAGCATTCTACAGTAATACATTTTTAAAAAATCACATAGCACTTAGTAGGTACATGTATACATGTACATTTCAGAAGACAAATAACAAAATTACTCCCAGAAAGTTGCAAAGATGGACATTTATAGTCTAAGAATATGGTAATGGCTAGAAAAGTATGCAAGGGACCATATGTTGTTATATTTAACACTATTTTCCACAATGCCTCTACAGTGCTTTCTTATCTTACATTCATAGAAATGAGAAGAGAACAATAAACTGCTTTATACAGACATATAGATACTAGGAAATAATTTCTTACGGTTTTTAAAAAAAATTTAAATTTGCTTTATAGTCTAGATTAAGCCTTATCACTCACTGAAATACAACATATCTTGAAAGAAGAGCATCATTTTAAAAAGGACTCATTTTTCTAGTGTCAAGTTCATACGACAAAATAGAGTTGTGGCAAGTATGCACTATCCTAGAATATCTATAGCTCCAACAGCATTTCTCATGGATTAGTACTGGTTCATAACTGTATGGTCCCAGACCATGAAGACATGTGTGACTTGCATCAGAATATAAACTAATATACTATACTGCTACTGCTATTACTGAAATTTCACTAAAAAATAAATCCTGTCATTGACCTAAAAAGCATCACTAGATATAAACTGTTTGTTTATCTTGTCTCTAAAGCAGTAACAGTTTGTGGACTCGCTCTATGAACTGTAGTGGTCTAGAAAATTATGAATGATGTTGCAAAACTAATAAACAAAGAAAACAGCAGCAAAATTTGAACAAGTTCTAGAAAGTGAAAAGACACTTAGGTGGAAGTATCAGAAAGAACAAAATCATTGTTCTGAATGTGTAAAACGTGTATAATTCTATCCTAGATATAAAGGAGAATAGATATCATGCTATTAAAAAACAAAGACTCTACTTATAGTCTAGTTATTGGAATTTCCCTAGTTTTGAGGAGCTGTAAAAGTACAAATAAAACAGAAAATAGCAAAGTACTTAGAGACGATGTAGAAAGTTTTACATTGTACCAGGTTATCTGTAAATCTTAAAAAAAAAATAGACAATTACTTTAATACAGTAATTTGACGGGTAGAAGCTTAACATTTTGAAATTAGCCTAATCTAAAGACTAAAAAGACCTTAACAGAAAAATAAGTTTTGGCATAAAAGTACCTGAAATTCCTAGAAAAAAATTTTTTTTCCCTTATCACTCACCCAGCCAGGTTAGGTGCTTCTAGGCTTTATGTTTCAGGCTTGGGCTCAGGCAAAGTCCCTAAAAAGTTCTTAAGTTTCCCATATGAAAGGTAAGATATATGTCTTTGTTTTTAACTTTATTGGTGTTTATTTCCACGCTTTTTAATTACTTTATACACTTCTCCTCCAAATAATGTTCCACCTTTAAAGGATGTAACTGCTAGCTTATTCTTAGAAGCTGAATTAAGTTTGCACTCTTTCAGCCAAAGATGTCGGCGACCTACAGTGGAATTTCCCATAGTATGGGCAGAAATCTTTACTTCATCAAATGCAGCATCACAAATATATGAGGCTGCATCATATGTTTTGCTCAAAATTCCAAGTGCCTGTTGCATACGACTAGGATCTGAGCTAAGAATTCGTGCAGCCTGACTAATGTCTGCCTGCATAGCCTTAGCTACAAAGGCGGTGTGGGTTGCAATCTGCAATGCTGATGCTGCAGCTTCATATGCTCTACAGAGTGCTAAGTCCAACTGTTTATCACAAGACTCAGTGGTGGCTGCCTGAATACTTGCTGGTGGAGTGGCTTCAGAAATAAACCCTAGGATTTCATCATCTACTTTTGGAACTGATAATATCCGTGTTGCCTCTCCTGAAGAAATCGGATATTTGCATGCCAATGAAGGCAGCTGCCTGTCAATCTGCTGCCACTCCTCTTCAATTACTTTTAAAATAGATTCATGTAAGGGAAAAGAGGGTTCTGAAGCATGTATTTTATCATACTGTGATTCCTTAGACATTTCTATGCCTAAGGTAGTGAGTGAATGAGAGACAACACTTTTGGCAAAAGACATCAGTTCAGATTCAGTTATATTCTGGAATGTCACAAAGGAACCTGAATCCCTTACCTCTGATTTTTCACTGAGTCTACGAAATTTTCTTGGAGGAGACAGGGATTCAGTTTCTCGCAACTTAGATTGATCAATTCTCTTGCATATGCTTTCTATATCCAGTGGGGGTGTAGAGTTAGAAGTCCCAGGCAAACTACCTACCCCACCCTGGACCAAGAGAGAATTGACATAATCTCTGATTGCCTGAGCAAGTGGTGGAGAAATTAGCTGTGATCTCTCAGACTCTTCCTGTGCTTTCCTTTCACTGGAGAGAATCGACTGATATGAAAAATGGGACCTCTCAGGATTTAATGGTTGAATTCCACTTTTCTCTCCACCGTAAATATTTTCTACCATCTCTTTATAGCAAGTAGTGGTGGTTTCTTTAATCAGTGAAGGAGAAGCTGCAGTGGAGACCAACATGCCAGTGAGTTCATGCTGAGGAGATGACGAAGAACTTTTCTCTAAACACCTACCATGGCTAGACTTGGAGGAAAGAAACAAATTCCCTCCAGAGGCTACCTTCTGCAACTGTCCCCTGCCAGGCAAGTCTGTGGCAATAAGAGGCCCCCTACATGGGTCTCCCTCAGAAGTATGTGTTTTCTTAGCTGCCTGTAGTTCAGTACTGCCCAAAGGAGGACAGGTAGAGATTTCAGGAAAAGAGATACCCTGAAAAAATCCACCAGAGGGAGTAGTTGGAAGTTCAGAAAAAGGAACAAAATCCCTAGTGGACTTCACTTTCTTGTTTTCTTTCTTCTTTCCTGTAGAGGCAAAAGAGGCAGGAAGTTTAAGCATTACTTGTGTTTGAGTAGAATTATTCTTTGCCTCTTTGCTAAAATAGTGCTGTTGAAGGAAAGGATTCTATATTTCATATTGTGAACAGCCAATTTGGCAGATTATGCCCTGGTAGGCAATGCTTATGGAACTATAAGCTATCTGGGTGAATTAAATAATTGTAACATTATTAAGTAATAGGAATTATTTACAAATATTCAAGTTGTACTTATAGTAATTTTTAAAAGAACATTTATTTCATATACTATTCTCAGAAATATTTAAATATCATGGTCAAATTTTCTTATAGTATAGAACGCTAAAAATATGGCCAAAACATTTGCTTTAAAATTGCCTCGAAATGAGATTATCTAGCAAAAATGTAAACAATTTAAATGTCTATGAATAAAGAATAAAGAAAACATGCCATAGTCAAATGCTACCACTATATATCAATTATGAGAAACATAAAAAACCAGTAAAATTAAATCTCAAAAATATGACACAGAATTAAAAAAAGCAAGTGATAAGATTTAGCACATCATGTATACAGATTTTTAAAAGCACAAAACAATATCATGTATTAGATAGATGTGTATGTAAAAGTAAAAACTGAACTGGGAAGATAAGCTTTAAATTAGTGATAGGGCTTGCTTCTGTGGAAGTGATAACAGATTATGAGCAAAGAGCAAATAGGGGAACTTTGCCTTTACTCATAATACTTTATTCTGAGAAAAATGAGATTTGAAGCAAAAAAGACAGTTAACTGCCAATTTTAAGTGACAGAACAGTGGATATTTTACTTGTCTCTTAAATTATTAACAAGTCAAATTACTTCAAGTATTACTCTAATGATCTGAAGAAAAATTACATATATTTTGCCAATATTATTTTAAATTTTCAATACTGTTTTAAATGTTACCTTCTTCATGATCACTGTATGAGTCGAAAAAGAACTGCATATATTTGATTAAGATCCTTTTAATTTTACCTTCTTCGTTGTCACTATATCTGTCAGAATCATTACTTCCATTCTGCCTTGTGTTTTCTGCTGATGAAGAAATTGTTGGCAGAGGAGTAGAAGATCTTGATTCTGTTCCTTGTTCCCTAAGTTTCAACAGCTTTTTCTCATACAGCTTCCTGGTTGTTCCTGAATTAAGGGCAGAATTTGATTTAGTACTTGTATTGCCTTTTTTTTTTTTTTTTTTGAGACAGAGTCTCATTATGTCAGCCTCAGTAGAGTGCATGGTGTCTATTTAAGGTCCAGCTCAGATACAATCTTCAGCAACATTTTAAATTTACCTTTCCTTTTGTAAACCCAAATGCTTAAAATACTCTATAATGGACTCTCCTACAATAGATGTTTTTCTGGGATCTTTTTTTTTTTTTTGAGACGGAGCCTCAAGCTATCCCCCTGGATAGAGTGCCATGACATCACAGCTCACAGCAACCTCCAACTCTTGGGCTCAAGCGAGTCTCCTGCCTCAGCCTCCCAAGTAGCTGGGACTACAGAGGCCCGCCACAACACCTAGCCATTTTTTGGTTGCAGCCATCATTGTTGTTTGGCGGGCCCGGGCTGGATTCGAACCCGCCACCTTAGGTGTATGTGGCTGGCGCGTAAGCCGCTTGAACCACAGGCGCTGAGCCATTTTTCTGGGATCTTAATATATGATTGTAACATTTCTATTAATAGCATGGAATACATAGTAGACTGATACAGACTTTACTGCAGATCACCTACTAAATAAATAGCCACGTATGCCCAAGTATTTAAAGCTCAAAGTCTTGGACTTACACATTTTCTCTACTGCTATGTAATAATAGTACTCGCTTATGTAGAAAAATCATTTTTATAAATAGACTATTCCCCTCTGTAGAATAACTATGATTAAACTCCCATATCTCTAAAAAATTATATGCCTTAACTACCCTTTCAACTAATGGCAATAAATTACATTTAAATATAAGAACTTTGCTGTTGAAATGACTTTTTACAGAAACACAATACAAAGAGAAATGACAAAGTAAGGCCAGGGGCAGTGGCTCTTGCCTGTAATCCCAGCACTTGGAGAAGCCAACGCAGGCGACTGCTTGAGCTCAAGGGTTCAAGTCCAGCTCTAAAAATAGCTGGGCATTGTGGTGGGTACCTTTAGTTGGGAGGCTGAGAGACAAGAGGATTGCTTAAGCCTAGGAGTTTGAGGTTTTTGTGAGCTATGAAACCATAGCACTCTACTGAGGGTGATAAAGAGATTCTGTCTCAAAATTTTTAAAAAAGACAAAGTAAATGTTGTGTAAGTTGTCTTAAGTTGAACCGCTGCTACACCAACATGTAATTTAGTGTATTCTGATAGAGAATATACCTTTTCCAGTGTCTCCTTTTTGGAATTTTAAATGAAAAATTTAAAGAAGCATTATCTGTTAATAATTATGTTAATAAGCTTATTAATATTATTTGAATAAACTTATTATTTCATTTGGAAATGGTATGTAAATTAAAACAAACTAATCTAAATCCTTGTTTGCAACTACACCTGCACCAAAGCCCATCAGATCACCAGTGTTCACAATCTCACACAACTAAGAAGACCAAAATGGATTTTTCTCATCATGAAGTTACTGTCAAGGTCCTCCAAAACTAAGGCATCAACTTTACAAGATCATCATCACCTAAAAGCAATCTAATGATGGAAATTTAGTGTTTAGCTCTAAGTTTTCTGTTTTTAGTTTGTTCTTTTGGATATCATTCTTGAATTCCAACCAAGATAGGAGTTTTTAATTTAAAAGATACTTTTAGGCTTGGCACCCGTAGCACAGTGGTTATGGCGCTGGCCAAATACACTGAGGCTGGTGGGTTGGAACCTGGCCTGGGTCTGCTAAACAACAATGACAACTACAACAACAACAAAAAACCGGCTGGGCACCTGTAGCTCAAGCGGCTAAGGCGCCAGCCACATACACCTGAGCTGGCAGTTTCGAATCCAGCCCAGGCCTGCCAAAACAACAATGACAACTACAACCCCTCCCCACCCCCGAAAAAATAGCCGGGCGTTGTGGTGGGCACCTGTAGTCCCAGCTACTTGGGAGGCTGAGGCAAGAGAATCGCTTAAGCCCAGGAGTTGGAGGTTGCTATGAGCTGTGATGCCACGGTACTCTATCCAGGGCGAAAGCTTGAGGCTCTGTCTCTTAAAAAACAAACAAAAAAACAAAAAACTATAGCCGGGTGTTGTGGCAGGTGCCTGTAGTCCCAAATACTTGGGAGGTTGAGGCAAGAGAATCATTTAAACCCATGAATTGGAGCTGTGGGCTCCCAACTATGAGCTGTGACATCATGGCACTCTACCAAGGGCGACATAGTGAACCTCTGTCTCAAAAAATAAAATAAAAGATACATTTAATAACTGGAAAATGGTACTTTGCTGAGATTGAATAATTTGATTTATATTAACAAGTCTGTCACTAACTTACTGAGTTGGATGAATTTGGCCAAGCAAGGTTATCTCATATTTTCCTCAATTGTCATATAAGACCTATATGTCTTACCACGTAGTGTGGTACGAGCACCATATAAAACAATTTTAGCAGCAGAGTAATTTCACAGATTATCTAGTTCAATCCTTCCATTTTATTTCCCTCGCTTAGAATTAAGCAGACCAGTCCTTAGAACCCAAACGGCTAAGAGGGAAAAATAATCTGAAGTCTTACTTCATAGAAGAAGATACTGTCTTTGAAATTCCATTAACTTACCCACAATAGGACCAGGATTCACTCCATATTTCACAAGTTGATCCAAAAGATCCTCATTAGTGAGCTCTGTCACATCTAGATCATCTTTATCTTCTAATCTGGGTTTATCAGTTTTCTTTGTGGCTTTCTGTAAACAAAGTTTAGTTACCTTTCCACATGAATTTAAAGTTCACTTATTTAACATTACTCAAATAAACAATAAACATGCAAAATTGCCTTTAAGTTGCTTTACAGTAATAAATATGAAAGTTTTGAGATAGACTATATGTATTATGGTCCATTATTTCACCTCCAAGAAACACAGTTGACAGACTCCTTTCTGAATTACCTGTGCAAGCTTCAACTTGCTGGGCTTACCAGTATTGCAGGGAGGGCTTCGTTTGTTTCTGTTCATGCACAGTTTACGTTTCTTTTTTTTTTTTTTTTTT